AGCACTTGAGGCAGCTGTGGGGGTTACTTACAGGCATAGGCCTGTTACAGTCCGCACAGGGCTTAAACCTGGGAGACCGGGGCATGCCCTGCCTGGAGCAAAGTCCCCACTGGGATTCTAACTACACTTAACACTAACTACTATAAACAACTACTTATAAGGCCAAGGCTCAAAGTCAGTAAAGACAAAAAACCGCTAGCCCTTGCTATGCAAGGAAAGGCGCTCTGACTAGCCACCACGGGTGGTAAGAAGGAACTGAGGGGGCGTAGGGCTGGCGGAGCCTGATATACCGGCGCATGAGTGCAGCACTCAAGGGGGCGTCACTGCCCACCCTATGGATATCACTAAGGCAAAAATCTCCGATGACCACGCCCGTGGGCATGCACACACCTAGAATGGAATCAACATGAGCAAGCCCTCAAACAACAACAGCTTTACACTGAACAAAAAGTCTGTGTTTGCAGTCTCAATTTAAGACAGCCTGCAGCATTGGGTGAAACGGGAAACAAATCTAAATGCACAAATCAAAGGTTTGTTAGGAACACGAATACTTTCTGGTTTTCACAAGGGTAACCTACTCTGCCAGTCGACCCTTATGCGAATGGACTTAGTAGACAGGGGGATTTTTCTTGGTGTTTTCTAAACCACACAGGGGTTTCAATGCAACAATTCAACCATGTGTCACAGCTCATCTTGCACCGAGTGGTCTGTGGGTCACCAGCAATGAAACCGTTCCTAGGGATGCAAAGACATTTTGAGAAGCAAATCATGGGATGCTGTGAGCAGAGATGGGTCTAGAATGGATTAAACCGTCTTCTGCAAAACTTCCCCCCCACACCTCCAGCTAGAACATTCAGAGTGTTGCGACTGGTTCCTGGTTCAGGGCTTGTTTTGCACAGCCACAGCATTCCATTCTTACATGATACAAGATACAAAACATGTTCCCCCCTGAAGAAAAGCTCTCTAGAGAGCAGCATTAAAGCTGCATCACTCTGTTTAAGAGAGACATTTCCAGACCATTTATAAGAAATCCTAGTTCAAATCATATTAAAGCTTTCCACAAGCAAAAAGGAAAAAAGCAGGAAAATTCAAGTAAAAAAAACAAAAACAAAACAAACAAATTTACCTTCCCCATGCCAATCAGTTACCGAAAACAAGAGGACAAGTGTCAGAAAACAAGTCACAACAAATGCTTAGCAGTTATCGGGCATACAAGCCCACAGTTATCTAAAGACTGAGAAATCAAAACATTTCAGACTTGTTTTTAAGTGCAGAACCTCGGTAAAGTTTTTTCTCTTCACAAAAAAGATTGATCGGAAACCTGGTAATAGGTTGTTCCACTGTAAGGTCAGAAGGTCATACAGAAAGACATTTATGCACCTTGTCACAGTTGAGGGTAACTGCACCTGTATTTTGGGCTCTAGGCTCCCAGCTCCTCAGCCATCACCCGTCTTGCGTAGAGGCCCACATCTCTCCTCCACCTGACCAGGGTTTTTCCAGGCTTCAAAGGTCCCCTGCTTATACTGATATCCCCAGCAAGCCAGACTGCCTAAAACAGGCCAACATCTGCACTTTGCCCTCTCTCTGAATGCTATGAACAGCTGGCATTGTCAGCCATCACAAGTTACCAAACAGCTTTTTCTATGCAAGCACATTTATTCTTAAGGTAAAAAGCATTTCAGAGGAAAAAACAAAAACAAAACCCTGCATGCATGCTAATAAGCTTACCAGAGATCACCCCGACTCCAAAAAGGGCTCTGACGGGAGCCAGTCCTTCAAACCCCACAGGTGGTTTACTGTAGTTATAAGTTCCTAACAGCCTTAGCTCAGAACCAGAACAGTCACATCAAAATCTGAAAGAACAGCTCTCCTGGAGCGTTTTCTTCAGAATAGCTACATTAAAGATGAACTTGTATTTGTATTGCAATAACACCTGGGAATTATGGCCCAGGACCCCATTGTGCTCGGCGCTGCAGATCAGGTCTTTTCGGGGGGTGTGTGTGTGTTCGTTCCACATGCTGTATGTGAGAACAGCACGTGCTGACTTGATGTTTACGGTTTGTTAAAAACAAAGCTGTAAATTTTAACACTCCAATATCCTTTCCTCCTTCGATTACCCTAATCAGGGTTTTGTGCATCTCCTGCAACAGATGCTGGCAACAAAAAAAAAAAAAATCCAGCTTCTTTCCCTACATTCTCCACTTTGTTGTGTGTTTGCAGAGCTGGTGCTAGCCCATTGGGGGCCCTAAGCAGGAATATTTTAGGCTCCCCAATACTAAAACAGGCAAGTTCTTATAAAAAGCAAATAGGGGGCCCCCTTGAGCTGCTTGGGGCACTCAGCAATTGCTTAAGTCTGCTGATGCCTAGCACCAGCACTGCACGATTTGATGTCACCTGGGAGCTATATTGTAATTGACCTTGTCTATATTTGTGTATGAAACACGCCCTGCTCTACAAATGACGAACAATCAACAATTGCATGAAGAAGAGGCCCCTGGAAGGGAAAATGGAGGAATTTTCAACTTATTTTTTTTTAAAGAAGATGGATACCTGGCATACAGTTTACACATTTTCCTAGGGTGAAATTCTCTCTCAGCCCACACGCCAGCATGAAGCCAGAGTTTGGGCGGTCTATCCTACAACCAGAGGCTGCTCAAACGGCTAAAAATCAAGTGAAGCTGCCGCAGCATGGGCCTCAGTGCAGGCTGTACAAGCCCGCCCGTAACACTGGGTACATACTTACATTGCTAGCCAGTGCCGGGGTCCTGTGCCTTCATGGCTAGTTTTAGACTAAAGCTGGCCTGGGTATGTCTGAGCAGCAATCACACCTCTGATTGCCACGTAGACTGACTAAATGGACTCTGCTCATATTGCTCCCAACCTGCATAGCAGGCTGTGGTGCTGCAGCAGGACGACTCCTCGTGCAGATAGAATGGGCACCTCACACTTCCATCTGCACTGGCTGCTAATGGGCTCACCTTCCCCAGCAAATATGGGGGGGGGGGGGGGACTTCTTCATCCCAGAGAGAGAGTCATGGGGCTTCTGCGGTGTGGAGCGCCTCCCCCATGCAGGGAATCTCACTCTCCCAGTGAGGCTCCTAAAGGTCCTTTTAAAATACTGACATCCACTTTTAACAGAAGGGTCTCCAGGCCCCATCAGTTCTCTCCCGGCGAGCATGCTCACACAAGGCAACCGCGTTATACATTTACCTTCCTGTTCAGCAGCCCCACGAGTTTAATCTGGCCCCACAAGCCAGGTTGAAGATGGGGAATTGTAACATTCTTCCAATGGATAAGACACGCACCGTCCATCAAAGTTTCAGTTTTAAGATGAAGAAACCCTGACTTCGACCCCCTTACCTCCACCCGACATTACTGTTAAAGCTTCCAGTCCTAGTGTGGCAGGAGACAAGCTTCCAAAGATATCCCACAGATCAGAGTCCTTAGCAGGCATAGCCCTAAGGAAACTATTGATACCACGGAATTCACTCATTCCACTTCCCCTGCCCTGGGGGGCCAGGTTCTACACGGCACCTCTTGAGAGGCCTAGCTCAGAAGGTGCAGCTTGACTTTATACCACCTCGGTGCGGCCCCGATTCCGGGCTGAAATGGCCACTGGCATAAGGGGTTATTCTAATTGATAGCTGCCTCTCCAAGGTGGTGGTGTAGCCCAGAACCCAGTGCTACAGGCACACCTCTACACTAGGGCCTAATGGGGCGGGGCACAGAGCTGCTTTCCTCAGTCTTCCGTGGCTCTGGGCTGAAGGAATTCTCCACCAGCCCCTTAGCGGCATCTCTGCAACTGCCAAACCAGTGTATAAAAACTGGGGCTAGGCCCTGCCACCCCTTCTTAACCTTACCGCTCTGTCTGGAACCGAATGTCTCAATACAAGTTCCTTGTGGGGGAGGGGTTAAAACGGCCAATCCTCAATGGATACACTCGTCCTTCCCGCAAAACTGCACAGAAGCGTTCGAGTCATTAGAAGCAAAACAAAGTGCCCAGCTTTCTCATGGCAAATCCCAGTAACAAACAGCAGAGACCTGAACTCAAATGTTTATGTTTATATTTATTACAGCATGGAGGGGGGAAAAAAGAACCGTTTCATTCAAAAACCATCCCATACCAATGAAGACAATAATTTAGCTATCCATTTTAAAATACATTAAAACCGGTCTGTCATTTCTCACTTCAAAAAACAAAACAAAACAAAAAACAAAAACAAAAAATAGATGACCCATTCTGGAGACCACGGATGTTTCAGCAATACAACAAATCTTCATTTGATTTTTTTTATTTTTAAATATTAACCTGACTGTAACTATGAGACTGACACCCTTTTCCCACCCGCATCCCCACCCTCAACCCCACCCCCACCGACCTTCTACAGGTAAAGCACAATTAAAATGCCTAGGAAAAAGAAGGCAAACATTTAAAAAAATTCATATTACACACTAAAAAAAGTTTGTCATCTCATGTCTTGCAGTCAGAATAATAAAAACCAGCCAATGTTCCCAAAAAACATCTCAATGAAGGGGTGCGGAAAAAAAGACATCCCTTTAATAAAACATTTTCAACAAATATCATACACAAACTACAATGTATAATAATTACTTTTTTTCCCTCTCTTATTTTAGAACCAGACTACAAGGTAAGAAAAAACACTGAAACAAGATACAATGTTCTCAATAATCGGCACAAAGGGAAATCCAGGGAGATAATATTTTACATAATATGATATACATGGATCAGAAGTGGAGATTTATAAAACAAAGACCAACTACAGGGTAGTGTAATGTACATAGATCCCCAGACTCTGGCGAGTGTCACTTTAACATGGTTGGTTTGTTACTTTTCTGTAGTCACCTCTACCACAAGAAGAAAAGGTAATTTTTTCATTTTTGTTTTTATTTTTTTTTGTTACAGAGTGAGCCTACAGAATAGCAAGTATACAATTGAACAATTACTTGAAAATATCTCCATCCAGTTCCAAAATACATACAGCGAAACCCTGATAAGATCACATCTTTAAAAAAAAAAATACAAAACCAAAAATCAACAAAGATGTTAGCTTGAGATCACAGTTACAAAATCCCAGGTCAGATTAACCCTTTCTTTCTCTCTTTTTTTGGTGGTGGGGGGAAAAATAGCTCAAGGATTCTCGCAGGGGGAAGTACTGAACTCTCCTTGTATTCTGAGAGGGGGAAAAAAAGACTAATACAGTGCATGCCACGGTCACAGATAGTAAGATCACAATTAATTCTTGAGGATGTGATCCTATGAGGGGCCAACTGCATTAACAACTTTCTATGAGGTGGAGGAGTCTCTTCTGGAGGAGGAGGTGGTGTTGTGCTGCAAACAAGAAAAGAAAAACAAAACAGGCCTTCCAAACAAAAACCACCAATTGTAAACTGTCCAGTTTATTTTAAAAAAATAGGACTACAACAGGGACAACATGAGATTTCATATCTAGACTAGCTTCCTGGTGTAGCACAGCACAAACATACAACAGGTTTAAAAGAACAAAGCAAAGAGGTTGGAGTTGGGTACTGGAGGCTTCCATTTGTTTCCAAAAAAAAAAAAAAAAAAAAAAAAAAAAAAAAAGTGTCATGTACATATATAAATCCTTCCGCACAAGAAGGATCTTGTCACGTCTTGAAATATTTTAAGTTTTGTCCTTCATGTTTTATGGAATAAAAAGTTCAGCCTTTTTATTGCATGAAACTAAAACTGGGGTTTGGCCCCCTCGCGTCTCTCTGCCAATACACCTAGCTTCTTCTTGCATAATTTCTTTTAGATCCTCCAAATGGCAGCTGACTCTCTTTATCCTGGAGAGGAGGAAGGGGGAGGGAAATCACACACTCATCGTCATGCTGGGGGAATACTGAAAGAGAGACAAACACAGAATGAGTACTGGGCAAACAGGACTGAAATACTAAACGCGGCCAAGGCCAGGGAAGAGGGGATATACAAGTAAGACTCGGGCTTATGAAAACTATAAAGCAACGTAATTGGATATAATAAATCAGAAAGATAGAATATGCTAGAGACTCTTAATTTATCAGCACATAATCCGCTGCATAATGGTCTTTCCAGGGAGAAAATAAGCAAAACAGTATGGGGTAGGAAGCAATTTAAATGCATGCATGTATATAATGCTAAATATGGCGAGAAAAAAAGGGGGAGCCTCTTTCATCTGTAGAGCTTGAATCCAACGTGAAAATACTCTGCAGATCTCAAAGATGAGTGCACATTTGTTCGCAGCTGAAAGCGAGCATGGTTAGCTGGGTCTGCTCAGGGGCAGCTCGGAAACAGCAGGGGGTGGTGCAAGCCTGAGCAAAACTGCTCCCGAGCATCAACAGGGGGTCCCAAGATTAGACCTGCAGCTTCCCTGCTGTTCCAAACGGCAGCACAGCTGTATAGGGAGGTTTTCGCAGAGTGAAGATGTTTGTCTCTAGCTCACCATGGTAGCTCACTTTCACCTGTCTATTTCACGCACGTGATGGCTAGAAAGGGGGCCAGCAAGGTTTATTTACACCTTTATTAAAAACCCTACCAATTGGACGCAGAGCTGCGTTACACAACCACGTGACCCTACTGCTCTCACATTTTTTCCTCCCTCCTCAGCCTCATTTGTTACATGCTGTTGCCATCTTGTCTAGCCTGTATGCTTTTTGGTTCAATACCTTGTTCAGAAATAGATCTCAAAACACAGTGCAAAATGCAGGTAAGAGTGATCATCGCTACTTTTTGGTTTTCACTTGGATAGGGAGCTCCAAAGCACAGAGCTTAGGCAACATTCCCAGGGTCAAACAGAAAGGCAGTGACAGAATCAGGATTAGGAACCAGGGCTTCTCAACTCCCAGCCCCCGTGCTGAGTCCCCTGGACCACAGCTAGATCTGTATTAAATGACAACATGCTCTCTCTACCATCATCAGAGATCACCCCTGCCCCTCCAGACCCCGGGCCCCACCAGGAAGCAGAGACAGAGCCTTATAAATTTGGTGACACCAAAAGAGAGGGGGCTTAGAGATTGGGTGTCTGAGCAACTCACATTGTCATTTTGGAAGGAATGGAGGAAGTTACCTCCCAGTTCACCATCATCTCTTGGAGTGCCCGGGGGGTTGCTAATGCCACTTATGTTGTTTGGAGAATTCTAAGGAGACAAACGAAGGAGAAGGTGAGTACGCCTCAAATACGTCACTGAGCACAGTCTGGCAAAATCCCTCGCTAACGACTATGAGCGGCCGGTGGGAGAGCAGGAGAGAACGGCTGCGTTTTATACAACCTTCCGTTAGTGCCGAAGCAAACGTCTCACGGGAAAGGGCTACAGGATGGGAGAAAGCCCCTTGTGTCCCTCTATTGCTCCCCCTACACTGGAGCCTCTCCAACCACACACACGATTTCCTCACTGCTAATGCTTCATGAGGGAGGGAAGGACTACGGTTGAAAGGAAAATGATTCACCTTTACGGTCACCACAGAGCACACTTACTTTTGGAAGTCCATCTATGTCGCCTGACCCTATCAAAAGAGGGGAAGAAAGGGAACTTTTATTTGCAAGTTAGTTACATTCCTTGCTCACAGTTGAGGTAGTTCTCCTCCTTGGCTAGCCCATTCAGTGCAGGAGCACGCTGGTGCTTAGAATGCCATCCAGAAACAGGAGGCTGTTGCTACATGCAGCTACTCCAGGGCATTGCTAGCAGCAGGCAGCAGCAGGCAATACAGGTCGCAGCTGTGCTAATCCCACACCTCTTAACATTTGCCTCTGGTAAAAAGGAACAGTGGGGGGCCTCAGCTGCCTTTCCTTTGTATGCTGAACTCCAGGGAGTTGAGGACAGCTCACCTGACTGCATAGCGCTGGGCACGCTGACTGCATGGCACTGTAATAATGGCAGGTTAGTTGCAGGGGCCTTGGCTCTCCCTGTGGTACTCGGACATTGATCAAGCTAGAGCATAGCTCCTATAGCAGGACAACGTAGGAGACGGACTCGAGAGGTTAATGGGCCTTTCGACTGCTTTCAATTAAACACCAACACTGGTTTTGAGTTTAAGCTCCTCTTCTGACTGAATCTATCAATGCTGCTCCAGTGAGCCTGTGCCTAGTCTACATGCTACAACAGAAGAGTATCCAGCCAGGTGGGCGGACAGGCGGCCTGGCAGGTAGGTCATGGCAAAAGAGGGCCGTGTGGGGTATGGGCCAGAGGAAATAGGGTGATTCTCAGACCTCTGAAACCTCACAGTGCACACGTGCCTCCAAAAATCACTGACCGGTATGTCAGGAGCAAGACAGGAAAAGCCACCAGACAATAACATCTCCCTTACAGAGATCTAATCCTGAATGGCAGATCAGCATTAACAGCTTGTTAAGGGTCAGGTCTAGTGCGCTTCCCGCTCAGCCGGCCTTGAGCTTACCTAACGATCCATTCATGTGATGTGGTTCCATACCTCCCATGCCTCCCATTGGGCCGTCAGAACCGGGCCCCATTGGGAACTGAGAAAGAAAACAGCAGAAAGTGTAACCCCAAAAATCAGAGACCCGTACTCCTATCAGCATCAAGCAGATCCGCCCATCCACTGGTAAGGATGGCCTCAAAACAGAACAGAATGTTCTACGATCCAAGTTTTGTCCAGACACGGGAAGGTGACCTGGCTCCCGTTGGGTTGGGAAGCAATATCCCTTGAAAACTTAACTGCCTCAGGAAAGTTACAGCAAACATTTTGTTCGGTCACTAAGGCTACATCTACACTACAGAGCCCACGTCGGCACAGCTATGCCTACACAGAGTATGTGGAGAGAAGGCGTTTTTCCGACAGGGTAGGAACACCATGTCCACAGATGAAGCACTCTTCTGTCAGTACCACTGAATCTACCTGGGGGTTTTGTTGGCATAGCTACATCATTGGGGGGTGCAGGCTGTAATACTTTGGTCCAGATCTGGCTGTTGGATTTAGTGTGCGGTTGGTGGTGTGGCCTGCGACATACAGGAGGTCACAGACACTTTGGGGAGTCCCCTCTGGTCTTCGACTCAATTACTCCCGACTCTATAGCTACACAGAAAGCAGGGCTCTGGTTTCACCCTCTGCAACCTCCACTATGAACAGTGTTTACAGAGGAACTAATATCCCTCCTTTAGTTCTATCGACATGCGCAGCATACAGGGCCCCCCACTGCCCTGGAAATAACTCATTGTGGCAGGCTGATGGGGCTATCAAGTCAGCCAAGACACCCAGCGAGGGGAGCGGGTAACATGACGGGTGTCAGGCACATTGGGGAGGGCTTCCTTTCTCCCAGCTGGTTTAATACTCCAAGGTGCTATGCGGGGGGCAGGGGTTCAAACCCCCTCTTACAGAAACACAGTCACAAAAAACACACGGCAGTGAGACCTGTGCTCAGACACGTGCGTGAGGTCACCCTTTGGCCCCTCCTGCCCCGGCATCAGCAGACACTCTGCCCCAATAAGAACGGCAGGGAGGGTGGGGACATGCACGCATGTGTGGGGTGACCCCCCGCTGCCTTGTTAGCAGCACTCCGTGCTCTCTCAGCTGACTGAGGCACATGCAATGGTTCTGCAGCTACTTTGCCCAAATAGTTACACTTCCTTGAAACCAGGAAGTGATGTCTAAAGGGCACATTCTCCCCACCAGCATATCCCCAAGTGAACCAGCCACTATAACCCAACGCGGGTGTCAACATGCTGCGCCCTACAAAGATTGGCTCCCTCCCTTTCACTCGTGACATCCTTCTCTGGCCACGAGGGGGTGTTCCAAGATCACGCCATGGCAAAAACCACCTCCAGTCTGAAGAGTGCACAACCTGATCTACCATTGCAAATCCAGGCCAAAGATCTCCCGCCCCACCCACCCGGCAGCACATTTCAACGGCCGGCTGAGGGAGCCAGCCGTATTTCCTTACACCACCTCCCATCTTCCCCCAGTGCTGCTCCAACCACATTCCCAGGGATCAGTGAGGCTTCAACATGATCGCCTAGATCCACCCGAGCCCCCTGTGCTGTGACCATCATCCATCTGTCTGCAGGGGGAACGGATGGGCCTCCCTTTGGGGCCTACCCATGCAGCTCCTCAAATCAGCCAATAGTGTTTGCTCTTGAGCAGTCTGAAGCCCAGGCGTCAAGTGCCTCGCGTCTGCCAGGCTCCTGACCCATGAGTACAGGAGAGGGAATCTAACCATGCTCTGCCATTTTCCTGGTGAATAAAACCATTGAAGCTAGCTAGCAGCCTGTGCACCCCATACCGAGCTGAAGAGCACTCCAGGATTCAGGCAAACCGGAAGCTTCTGCTCAGGCAAGACCTAGAGAACCAGGCCTGCTAACGGGCCAGATGGAGGAGCACTCTCCTCAGTGCTGAGCAGCTCCTCCAAGCCAATGCCGTCAGCTCCTCCCTTACCGAGCACGGAACCAAAACAGACTTCAGGTGGAACCGTCACACTCTGACACACACACACACCTTCTGGCATGACCATTTCTTTTTCTAAGTGGATGGGTGTGATGTCTTCCCACCCCCACACCATTCCTCCTCAGCACACAGACAGGAGTGATGGACCCTCACAGCTGATCCAGCCAACGCAGCCACTTATGGGTGCCACACTGAACAGGGGCAGGCAGATTCAATAACGCGTCAGCTCCTTGGAGCTGGGCCCACCCTCGTTGGGAGACTGCAGAGCACTGAGCGGGCACTACTGTAAAGAAGCGGGGGAAGGTTTTCGTTTATCATCACCACCGCCCTCATTTTGTTTCCCTGTCCCTAGATCTGCAAAGATCACGTTACTGGAAATGGCCAAGGGAGTTCCCACTCGAGTCACTTTACCTACGTAAGCTGAAGATAAAACCAGCAAACATCTGTATAAACAGATACACAGCCAACGTGGGCACAACTGCCCCCCCCCCCCCCCCCCGTCAAAAATGGGTTTGACATCTTACTGGTTTACGTGCCAAGCTGCAGGAGTTGTAACGCCCCTTAAGGTACATCTACGCAGCGAACACCCACGGCTGGCCCAGGTCCGCTGACTCAGGCTCACAGGGCTGTAAAATTGCTGTGTAGATGTTCAGGCCTGGGCTGAAGCCCGAGCTCTCGGACCCTGCAAAGGGGGTCCCAGAGCCCAAACACAACCGTTTTTAGCCCCGCAGCCCAAGGCCTGGGAGCCCGAGTCAGCTGACCCCGGCCCCGCCACGGTTGTGCCACAGGTCTTTTATTCCAGGGTAGACATACTCCAAAAAAGTCAATCTGGTCTGATCTTTTTCACCTGCAACACCCATCAACGTCACAATGAACATGGCCCTCTTCCCCCCCGCGCCCCTTATCCAGTTCATTGATTTGGGCTGATATTGTCAGAGAAGCCCAAATCCTACTGAAATTCAATTCATCCTTTGAAAATCCCTAGCTTTGGGTCTAGTCAGTTTCGCTGTTCTCCCCTGAAGAGTCAGCTTCCCCTGTGGTGCAGGCTTTTGTTATTATATATTCACCCTCCCAGGGGGGAGAGAAAAAAAATCTCACACGTGATCACAAAAAAACCCACCCACGCTGGCAGGGGGAACCTCAGAAAGAGGCAGTGCTTGGAACCAATAGTTTATAAGTTGACTGTATCCCTTTAAATGTGACTGCTAACTGGATGCGTTGCTGACATGATCTTGACCAGAGCAGCATGAACGGCACCATTTTAATAAGCATAAAAAATTAACAAAGTTGCTGAAGAGTTAATCGCTTTTTGATGGTTTGTTTTATTTCTATTTTGTAACCAATGGCTGAAATCAATTAAACTGCTCTACCCTCAACTGATGAAGTTAATTATGATTTGTTATGGTATCTGATATGTAAATTATTAGAAAGCAGAGACTTACATTCGATCGACTGCCTCCAGGCGGTACTGGATTAATCATTGTGTAGATGTTGTCACTTGAATTGGTTGAATCTGTAGAACAGTGAAGCCCAGTAAGTCAGAGTGATTAATTCATTTCTTAATTAAAACAAACTCATGCCACTTGAACTCATTCTTTTGTATTTTATCACCTAAAATTCCCTTTAAGTACCACCATTTTCTGGCTAATTTGTATTTAATGAAGATTCACAAAGTTTTTAATCACAGAAATTCAACTGTGAAAATAATTCAACTACTGAGAATCACAGGGCCTGCTCGTCAGAAGAGGCGTAGAACGATAATTTGCTTCTATGTATCACTTAACACCTCAAAATTATCCAAACATCCTCCAACATTATTACAATACTGGCATTAAAAACAAATCCCCGAACCAGTATGGAAAAGGAACCCGTCTCTTTATAATGCACATGGTAACAGACAAACCATTTTAATCACGCCACAATATATAAATGCACAAATGACAAGTGTGCTGCCACGACAGAATACTGGGACAGTGACTAGCAGCACCCATTAACATATGGATTGTTTTATTATGACCTAGTCTGAAATGTAGGTCAGAGTTCTCATAAAAATGCAGAAGCAGAAAGACAGTCGTAATATTACATTTTAGCTCCACCCCTGCAGCTGTGAAACACCACAGTTACAGAGCAAGGCTACTTCCCTTGAGCCCACCCACCCGCCATCCCCTCCTATTGATCACTACAACAATTACAAAATCAGCCTTGCAAAACTGCCAGAGAAATTTACCAGCCCAGATGCAGAATCTACATGCCCACCTTTATGTGGGAAAGGAGGAGAAAAATCACTGTGGGAGATATTATTGACCCATCCAAAAAGAATTCGAAATTTGGGTCGAGGGAATTAGCCTACTGTGGCAAGCAGAATTTTGCAAAGCGGGTTTCAAAAGCCCCTGCAAGTCCTCATAAATCTGACCACCACAATGGTAGCCTCCACAGCCTGACTTGGTCTTTTTAAAGGAGGAGGCATCAGAGTTAAAAATTGGGCGGCGGGAGTGGGGGGGGAGAAAAAGGGCGGCACACAGGAAACCCTTCTAGTAAACAGATTGGATTTTTTTTTTGTAGCTAATACAATTTTAAACCTTGACTGGATTATTATTATTTTTTTTTAAAAAAGAGCAAGCAGTAGCTGATTAGTCAGCCCCTAAACAGTACAAAATGACTCCCTTGCTTTTTGTTTGCTAACCAGCATGAAAGGAATAAGAAATAAATATATTCAATTTTTTATAAGGACATTTTGTCAAAGAACAAGCAGCGTTTTGCACATTTCTAGTTTACATGCCTCACAAGGCTGGTTCACTTTAGTAACACGGGGATTAAACGTGAAGTGACTACTGCTTCTCAGGGAAACAAATCTGGACACGGAGAAGGGCTCCCTCCCTCTTCCCCACTTCATATGTGCTCACATGTGCTCTCAGAGCTCTCCCCCCCCCCCCATTTTCACCCTCTTGAAACTCAATCCTGGGCGGAGAAGTGAATACAAAGCCCCATCCTAACAAACACCAAAATCTTCTTTCAATACTACTGCATACGATCAGGAATTCAATGGAGCAGCAGTTGAGCGTGAACTGAGGAGTTAGGGGGCTACCATTCAAAGAAAAACACCCAGCAAATTTGGATTTTTTAAGTGCTGAATTCGTCTGCTGTTGAATTTTACCTGCAGGACTAGGCATGATAGGTGTTCCTGGAGGACCTCCACCACCAGGGGGCCCCTGTAGACAAGATTAAACACACATCAGAAACCACTGTGATAACATATACTGCACTAGGTCAGCAAGATCCTGCTGCTGTCAGCAACAATGTCTCACCTTGGTATTCAGCCAAGCATTAATCTCCTGCTAAAACCTTTGATGCACTCTCGTAGCCAAAGTACAATGCTTTGTTTAAGCCTTGAGCAAAATTTTTTTTTTTTTAAAGTATTCGAGAGGTGTATATGGGAGAGAGTGGAAATCATTTGCAGTGTCCACGGGACCCCTTCTAAAACATTTTTTACATTTACAGATGAGGGAGGCTGTTCTGGGTACCCAGAAGACACGCAGATTTCTAGAAACAAACATTCTTACATTTTAGAATTTCTGCCTCTGCCCAGACTTTTGTACAACTCAGATAGAGGGACATGGCTACACTATATACATCTAACTCACACTGAGAATCTATTTAAAAGTCTGAATAAGTTATATCTACATACACACGTGTGTGTACAAAGAGTCAATGATCTGTAATGTATATACTTGAAATCTGACTATACATCTGGCTAGAAATAAGAACCCAGCCCAGGAACTTACCACGTATGTACCAGGCGATGAAGAGGAATATGGAATCTATAAACAGATCATAGGAGATAGGTGACTATCTGAAATGCAGCATTTCATCAATAATATCCCGATTTACACATTTAACTCTGGTGCCCACATTCCGCTTTGTCAAACGGCAGGGGAAATTAGGTTGAATTACAGTAGTGGCCACTGACGTGTTATAAATGCCCACAATGCACCGAATATGCTGGCACACAATATTTCACTTACCCCCAAACCCTACTATTGGCAGGATACAAAAAGGCAAGAAAAATTAATGTTTCAAGAGCAAGGTTGTGGGTGTTCTGCACTACATCAGACACATCTGTGGTCACCGAATGACCAGGTGACTGCTGGAAGATCCTGTCTCCTTCCTTCCCCCCTACATTTTTTTTTTTTGGCGCACAGTGCTGCAAAGTATCATACCTTTTCCCTGAATTACAAAGAAAACGGACAGAAAACTGGCTAAGGAACAGATCAGAACAAAGAAACACAAGCTTAACTTTTAGGCACACCAACGCAGTAACCAAATTAATGGAATGCTGTGCAACATAAAAATCTTCTCTAGTTAGCTGGATGCTCGCACACCTACGCTGGGAAGCACTCTATGGTATGGAGGATGGTGAATGTTTGCCTGGGAGTTTGCCCACATTTAAATGGGTATAACACTACTCTCCTGTCCTGATACTCAGGCACGTCCACGTAATACCTGTAGACTGGCTGTCTCTAAAGATGAGGTTTTAGTCGGAAGTTGTAACAAAAGACACGAGAACGCAGTCACACTTGAAGAGATGCTCATGTACAAACTTTTGCTCTAGTCTAATACCGATAAAAAAAGACTTACTGAATTAGCACTGCTGGGATTAGGCCATGGTCTACCAGCTCCTGGGCCCCTAGAGTTTAAATGAAAAAGAAAAGCTTTTTATACATGGCACATCAGAATACAGCATAACAACAATGTAGAACTGGGATTCCAAAGTCATTTCAAAGCAAGGGTCAAAGCCGCTGTCAAACACCAGAGTTAAAGCATCATGGGTTTTGCCTTACATGTTAATTCCAGGCATGCCGGGGCCTAAAGAGTTGGGTGGAGGTCTCATTCCGCCGCCATAGTTCTGCAATGATAACCAAGGATCAGTCTACCATAACGAGAAGGGAAACCGGAGAAGAAAAGAGAAGGGAAAAAAACAAACAAACAAAAACAAGAGGGTTAGTTTGTGAAAATGAACTTTAATAAAAAATTAGATGATGATGAACATACAAGCAATTAAAAACTTTAAAATAAACAGGACTGTGGTATCTTTCCATTGACTCTCCGCAAGACATCATGGGCTGTTAAAAGATTTATACAGAAGCCAGACAGATTTTGCATTATGGCTTCCCTATTGCAGACCAGAGCACAGCACTGGGTTATCCTAGGCCCAGACCCGGCCTCTGGGAGTGGCCCACTTCAGAGGAAAGAGAATGCCCCGGCCAACTGTGCAATACAATTATTATGGAGGGAGGGAAATTCCCTCCCAACTCCAGCAGGCAAATCAGTTTCTGGCTTGTGGTCTCTTTTGTTTAGGGGTGGAAGGACAGAGAAAAAGAAAGTAGCTGCTTGAAAGATTATTGCTACAGTGTAATGAGCAAGCAATGGGATGCATGGAAGAGATGCCAACAGCATGAACGTTTGCAGTAGCCTTCTAAAGACGGGAAAGGAACCTGTCCTCCTAGGGTTACATCTCCAGTTTAAAGACAACCAAAAAAAAAAAAAAAAGATTGGTCTTAAAGTCACTACAGAACAATGTGCATTTCAGACATGTGCACACAGGCACACACACAAACATATGTACAGAGAGATTCATGGCCCACAGTGTTGATAGGGAAGGGACTTCGATTTTGCTACAGAACTATTCAGATTGACCTCTTCATAATCAAATCTGATGCTGCGTCAGCACGTAAAACCCAAACACGTGTACACGGGGTGGGGTGGAAAGTGACATGCAACACAGAAATGCTGTAAACACATCAGGCATTACACAAAACTCCCCAACTCAGGCACCTGCTCTCCTTTCTTAGGTCACCCCCTGACTTTGCCTATTGCAGGAGTCTCCGATCAGTGTACCTGATCTAATAAGAACATATCTACTGTAATGCCAAGCCAGAGGATGCTGCTGTGGCTCCAGAAGTCCTCATGCTGAATTTCTCTGCCTCTCTCCAAGTCAGTTCCCCATCACCAACGTATCTGGGCACACCTTTCGCAGTGTACATCAGCCTTGCTAAATTAAAATAGCATTAGTTTCTTCTGTGCCTGGACCAATTTATTTCCTCAGCAGTTTTGCAAGGCTGGTTTATGTAGGAAGCTACCACTCCCACATACGGAGCTAAGCACCCAACCCAGCAAACCATGACTGTAAAAGGGATAAAGAGAAGGATATTGACAGCCAGCGACTGGGGGAAAACGGTGCAGTCGCTTGATGAAGCGCCTGATCAAAAGGGTTCTCCCTCGGACTTGCTTTGCGCTCCCTGTATTTGCACGTATGGCAGCGCAAGTAGCTTAGACCACCCATTTCAAAACACACATGTGTGTGTGTGTGTGTGTGTGTGTGTGTTTCCATTCAAGAAGAGGAACAAAACCTGTGTGGCTCCCAAGAGAAGGAAGGCTCTCCCGTTTCACAGACACACTGACTCCCATTTTCCCCCTGCAAACTTTTACTCACTCGACAGGTTCCCCCATCTCCTTGAGAGAGCCTAGAGAACTCCCCCCTCCCCCCACACACACTTTAACTTGACTGTGCGTATTTCTGAGGCCCTGTATCCGGACAGCTATCCCTCTGGGACTGGAATGGGACAACTTCTATTTGTCCTCAAAGAGCTCCTAAGATACACTTACGCCGCACACGCCTTTTGGCAGCACGGGGAGCACAAACACAGCTCGTTCCCCTAGCCTGGGTATAACAGCAATGGAGACCATGAGGTGCTGCTTAGGCAAATGGAGTAAAACACACTCCTGAACCCTTTGGGTGCGTAATCTACTCCCCAAGCCACGTGTCCCACTGCTGAAGTCTTTCCCCAAAGCAGGGAAAAGACCCAAAGGCTCTGGTAGCTCTCCGTTGCAGGAGCCTTTCCCTGTCAGTGGAAGACTAGCAGGGGGACAAAGGGAGAAGGCTCTGGAAGCTTCCTGCTGCCTCTCCCGGCCAGAGGCTTTCACCAACACTTATAGCTACGCATCACCATGTGGACACAGCCTGGTTTTCGCAGTGGCGTGTAGCAAGAGGTATGCAGGGGAGACGGAGTCAGCTGTTAAGAGGCTCTCTTCTCGCTGCAAATGAGGGGATAAATGGTGTCGCCAGCAAACTCTTTGTTCGTTCCTAGGACTGGAGCGGTACCTAGTTACTTGGCAGTGTAGTACTCCACCAATATTTTTGATTTGCCCCAAGACACATCCAATTAATTTTGGGTTGGCTTATTTGGGAAATCTGGTTTAGTCACAAGACTGAGCATTTTGGGGTTTGGTTTTTTCGGTTCCCCTGCCCTCATACCTTTATTTGTAACTCAAAGCGCAACAGCTAGGTCAACAGAATGGTGTTGTAGGAGTACAAATATTTCATTATGGTCCCAGTTCAGCAAAGCATTTAAGCATCTCCGTAACTTTAAGCATGTGCTGAAGTTCCATTGAACTCTTTGGATTTAAGCCCATGTTGAAGTGCTTTGCTGAATTAGGGTCCACTATCTTATCTACATGCGTACTTTGAGGAGGATGAAAAGGGTTACCCGAAGAAATCACTAGCAAATCTTAATTGATCAAATCTCAGTTTCTATGCTGAACTACGTAAAACCCCATGTTAAAACTTAGTACTTCTAATTGGAGCTGAAAGAAACAAACAGGCCAAAGCATTTTAAAGGTGTTAGAAAAAGGGAAAAAGGTGCCCTTGTGCTGATAAGCTGGGTGTCAACCTTCAGCAAAACGTGAATTAAAATGAGGAAGTTACAAACCCTTGGAAGACCATATTTAATAGAAGCACTGACACATCTAACCTCAGCAGCACCAACAAATGCCTTTATACTGTTCACAGAATTAACACTACGATCATCACAGAAAGGAGATAGGAAGTCTGAGTTTAAACCATGATGCTAGATTGTAAAAGAGGACTGGTTTTCAGTTCATGTCAGGTGGCTGGTACATGACTGCAGGTTACCATTGGTTGGATAAAAATGTATTCCATACGAATGTTTATTTTAGAAGGTCTTGAAAAAACACTTTGGGAAGGTAGTGGGTGTGTAGTGTGTACACAAGGATTTATTACACACAACAAAAATGGGGACGTTCAATATTTTTGATTATTTCTTGTATGCACTAAAGCTTCAGAGCACCTGCTTCTTTAGCATTTTGGGAAGACTCAAACATGCCAACCGGTTGATGAGATTGCACGTCCCATTTTCACAGGCTTGCACTTGTTTAAAGGAAAATTAAACAAGGCGCTCTCTCTAACGTCTAATAGTCCCAGCATAAGAGAGAAAGCCCTAAAACTCCACAACTTTCAATATCACCTGTGACCGAGAAAAACCTAGATGGTGCTCGATTAAAACGCAACCACTTTCAAGTCCTACGGCAATCACCTTGGATTGTCCAAACTGCACAGAGCATCCAGAACTTTCATGGCACTTTTTGCTTGGCTGATGCAAGCGCAACAGATGTAGGCTTTTGTCATCATACATGTGGGACTATTAAGAGCTTTGTTGTACCAGTTCCTGACAGTGCCAGACCATTAAAATGTATAACAAAGCAATTGGAATCTAAGCTTGCCCGCAAAGAATGCTTGGGATTTTTTCCCTGAGGTGTGGGGAATCTAGTGGAGTTTCACACCGTGCCCAAGGAGATGGATATACATTTTTATTCAATTAACTTTTCTCCCTTCTTGTCAGTATTCAACAGTTTTGCATACATTAAATCATTTCTTAACTCTCTTCACACAAAACCTCTTTAGCCCAACAGCCTCCTGGAAAAACTGTGCAACACACATTCATTTACTGCAGGGTTAAACAGCACTGAAGACAACACAGGAAACAAGAAGTCAGGGAGGATAAACCTACATCCGAGATACGGTAGTATGTTGTTTAAAGTCTATCACAACGAACAAACAGGAGTGAGTCAACATAGTAGCATGCAAATTCACTTGTTAAAATGAATCAACACAAAGACAGAATATATTAACCCAGATCTACTTCATTTAAAATGTACTCATAATTGGACTGGTTCCCCCACTCCCTGGGACGTATGCAACCAAAGAGGGATTTGGCATCATTCAGGAACTACAGAAGATTTTGTCGTTCATCGAGCTACTACTCATGCTAGTGAAAATTCAGAGGAGAATGCTACTCTGCTAACTGTAAAAAAAAATCTGAGCATTCTTGAATAACGTCGATGTTTAGATTCCTTTATAGTAAGAGCTAACAAGTTGGCTGAAATGCCTGGACAAGAGCTTCTGAAATACACTTGGAAAAAAGTTACAGGGGGAAAAAAAAAATGTCAAAACCTTTCCGAAGCTCATGAGATCACTCAGCATATCCCACTTTGGGGGGGGAAATCCCTAAAACTCATCAGCAAATTTTCCCCTCATCGAAAATCCCCAACCTGAAGTTTAAGGTAAAATTGAGAGAGGGGAAAGAGGCAAGCGTCAAATTTATCCAGGAAACAAAGAATGGCTTAAACGCCAGAGAAGTGAAATTGTCTATAGAATAGGATAGGGAAGAACAGAATACAGGAGAGGGAAGCTTTATGTCCCCGTGATAAATAACTTACTTTTTTATGTGGGCACTCCCTTTCTTAAGTGTTATCAAAGCAAGCTGGATAATGCATTCACCATCACTACATGGTCACAGCTAAAACAGCACTGCCTCCGACTAATGAGCAAGAGGGGCTTCTGCGATATCCCTAATGAGGATGCTGAGCTCTGTCGGAACACCGGCTTTCCAGCGGCAATGCACTAATGTAAAATGCATTAGTGCTAATGGGGAGTAGGTGGGAAGAACGCCCAGCTCTTGAAACCCCTAGAGATTGTTTGGATGATGTTTTGCTTATAAACTTTATGAAGTCGTAAGATGTTATTTGGCACGGGACAGGAGAGAAAATGTGCTGCTTAAGTTTACCTGCGGACCAGGACCCATGGGGCCCATCCCTCGTGGAGGATTCATCCTTTGCATTGGTCCTCCCATGTTAGGGTGCCCTGTTGGGAGTAGAACCAATGAAGTCATTATAGCAGAGTAATAGTGTTTGGCCCAAAGTCAACAGTGAGACACCTTCCGGCATCCTTGAGCATGTTTACCTTGTTGTCGTGTAGGGTCCATTGAATTGGGCAGCAGTGGCTGCGTACCAGGAACAGCCCCTGGAGGCTAGAAAAATTGGGGGGGAAAGGGGGAAGAAAAATAAGCTTTCAGGTATGTAACCACAGTATGTAGTTTAAATTCAAGGCTTTAAACACAAAGAATTCAGGTGACATGGTCTATTTTCTGGGAAACGAGGGCCTTGTCATAACTTCCTCTGCTTACACACAGCTCCGACCTGTATATCTCCCATGACATGTTCTATAAATCCCTGTAATTTGCCTAACTTCGCTTTCATAACCCTCCTACTTTGTTTCACAGCCTTTTAAAAAGACCAAACCCCAATTCTCTTCTAATCCTTCGCACTACTGTACTAATGGTCCGATTCCAAGCTTCTACTTGTAAGTAAAAAGGAGGGGACACACACGTCTGTCGGGGTGAGCGAATGTCTGATCAAAGCACTTCAATGAAATGATACTAATGCCAATGTAATTTTGAGGTATACACTTGGCAAATATGCTAAGTTATTTATTTGCCAGTGAAGAGACATTTCATCTGCAAAGAGGATTTTAAACATTCTTACTGAATAGCTTACGAAGATGACCTCAGGAGTATTAAAAATGTATATTTTCTCTCATTTCCTAGTATCCCGAACACTATTTCTTTTTTCAAAGTCATACTCCGCTTGGACAACAAATCTATTTAAAGTTCAAAAGAGGACTTCCACGTACAGCTACGTGCAGATAAAGGGGGAGGAAGAACACAGATACCATATGCCTTGGGGAAGCAAACTGTAAACAATTTTGAAACACGGTTGCTTTTCTTTTATTTGAATACCAACATGAAATAGATCGTGCTGTAAAAATTTAGAGACTCTCCAATAAGGAAGGATGACAGTTTAGGCAGGCCAGGCCACACATCAATGCCATGAGTAGAGGGAAGGTTTTCATTCCAAATCTTTATAGATTTACAGCTTGGGAGACAGAAGTAGGAAAATAATAAATGAACTTTTCGTATATGGTTCTCATTGCTATTAACTTGTTTCTCACCTAAACAAGAAATGAGGCAGTAATGATTATTTGGCCCTGTTGTCATGTTTTTGCATCTCTGGATCTACCCAGTAACCTAGCTAAACTATGTGAGTGTATTTCTCAATGCAGCGGGTTTTTTTTTTTTTTTTTTAAAAGTCGGATTAGTTTTATCCTCCTCATTAACTTAAATTATCAAGTGTATAAAAACAAAATCACAGAACGCCGAGATTCTGAAGTTGCAACGTTACAAATAATATCCCTCAATGTCTGGTCACAAACATTTCTGGTATGTCATTGCAACTTGAGACTGAAAGGAACCACGGCTCCACCTTGACACTATTAGACAAATCAAAATAGTGTTCTGCAACGTGAAATGTGCACAAGACTAATCCATAGCACTTACAGATACTGACAGCACCATCCTTGTGCTGTCCATATTTCAGCAGCAAGACCTTGGACTTCTTGCAAGCCTGATTTAAAGGGACATTGTAAAACTGCACTTGACAAAAAAAGAGTGACTTTCTGTATTTCACCAGGCCTGGACAGCACAGATTGACTTGTCTGTTTAACTTCTGCTCCTAATCAGTTTCACTTTCCTGTTCTCCGGCACTTGCCTGAAGCTAGAACCTCTAGCCAAGAACACGCCTGTGCACTCTTATGTATGAACCTGTGAGAAAATTGTAGCGTAGTCATTCTCAACTGGTGGGACATCACCAATAGTCTAAGCAGGGTGTCAAGCAGCTGATCGCATCCTCAGGTCTTCCATCTTTAGGTGAAACAGATCTGCCTAGCCACTTGACTCCAGTCCTCTTCCCTGAACCTACTGTGCCAGGCACCAGAGAGTATGTGATTACAGTCCTAACCAGGCCGAGGTCCTCCATTGTAAAGCACTCCAAAACAAGTTTCACAGAGCTGCCTAATCAGTGTCATTTTCCATGTGCAGGTCTCTCATTACAGGGCTGTGAGATTTCACCAGCATCAATGAGGAAGGGAATTCAGAGAAGGTGGAGGAGTTGCATAAAGCCGGGTGGACATACCTTCCTCAAATGATCCCCATTCACTCCCTAAAACCCCAACAGAAAACACACGCTGTCCACTCTCAATCTTTTTTAAAGGAGATAACAGGACAGGCTTATTTTTATTTTTAATGATTCCCCACAGCACAGGGAAAGGCTGGAGTTAAGAGTTTATACTGGTTTCAATGCATTATAAGAAGTTTCATCTTATTTAGTACTTGGTAAGATAGTCTATGTTTATCTCTACCAATCCAACACTTTGGGTAGCAAATCTGTCTCTTGTAACTGACTCAAACTGATAAGCTTGTTGGCTATAAGATAGATTTCTCTTTCGCAAGTTTTTCTTACAATCAGACAGCTAAACAGAGATACAGGGAAAAAATGGATGCCTAAATTTGTCTAACAGAAAGAATGCGTATGCACTATTTGTGAGTGAGTTCTGGTGACCGAACGTGACAAGAGCCACGTACTACTGGCAGGGGGAAAAGTCATAGAAAAGTATTAAAAATTAAATGGAGTTTTCTAAATCATATTAATAAAACAGTGTCTTGTTTAACAGACAGCGTAATGCGCTAACAAGAGTTACAAGGTTTATTTTAAAATGTCTGCCTTTGTTAACAGTAAAGCGACATGTTATTGGAATAGAAACTAAGCAGGTAACTATTTTTCTGAAGTACTTTGTGCTACACCTGCTAAAAAGAAACCGAAGGAAAGTAATTGGTGAAATTCTTAGAATATGCTTCAACAGGATAAATTACAACTAAATGCCACAATCTTAAAACTTCTGCACATAGAATCACAGACTTTAAGGTCAGAAGGGACCATTATGATAGTCTAGTCTGACCTCCTGCACAACGCAGGCCACAGAATCTCACCCACCCACTCCTGTATCAAACCCCTAACCTATGTCTGAGCTACTGAAGTCCTCAAATCGTGGTTTAAAGACTTCAAGGTGCAGAGAATCCTCCAGCAAGTGACCCATGCCCCACGCTGCAGAGGAAGGTGAAAAAACTCCCAAGGCCTCTGCCAATCTGCCCTGGAGGAAAATTCCTTCCCGATCCCAAATATGGCGATCAGCTAAACCCTGAGCATGTGGGCAAGACTCACCAGTCAGACACCCAGGAAAGAATCTATAGTAACTCAGATCCCACCCCATCTAACATTCCATCACAGGCCATTGGGCATATTTACCGCTCATAGTCAAAGATCAATTAATTGCCAAAATTAGGCTATCCCATCATACTATCCCCTCCATAAACTTATCAAGCTCAGTATTGAAGCCAGATATGTCTTTTGACCCCACTGCTCCCCTTGGAAGGCTATTCCAGAACTTTACTCCTCTGATGGTTAGAAACCTTCATCTAATTTCAAGTCTAAACTTCCTGATTGCCAGTTTATATCCATTTGTTCTTGTGTCCACATTGGTACTGAGCTTAAATAATTAATTCTTCTCCCTCCCTGGTATAACTATATGAACAAAAGTCCATTTTCTTTTAAGCTGCCATAAGGCAGAGGATAAACACAACTAAAATTTAACCCTGCAGCTGATCTAAGTGTTCTGGTGGACCAGTTCTCTAACAGCAGGATTATATGCATCACTTTGATTTTTAAAGATTCCAGGGAAAATTTACATTTTACGCTAGCTTTGTTGTAAACCATCATCAGTCGCACAGCAAAACTTTGTTTAGATCAGCTGAAATCATGGGAGACAGTCAGGGAAAACCAAGAAGTTTGTGTGATTATAAAGGAGAACTCAGAACTGCGTACTACATAGAAGATCTCTTGATAGCGAAGAAGCTGTTGGCAGTGGAGGGAACACACTTTCTATGTCAGGTCCTGATATTTACTACATTTATGTGATTGAGTTTCTACCAGCAAATGGTTTCTTGAGATTCAATGCATTACAAACCCCTCATGGAAAGAGGAGAAAACGTTTTGATGGAATTTGTTAATCAGTGAGTTAATGTTATTTGAATGACAGATACCACAAAGTCGTCTAAGAATATAAGAAACCTTCAGCTCTGTGGAAGTCTAGTTTTCCCCCACTGCCAAAAAAAATTCAGTTTAAAATCCCCAACTTAACTCAGGTAACAGATGAAGGAAATACAATACCTGGTTTCCCATTCTGATGGGGGGCCGGGGACCTCCTGCATATCGCGGTGACATAAAAGGCTGTAATTACATGAAATTAGTTCAATGACAGGATGCACTCACAGCATGGAGATAAAGAGAATTACTACATTCCAGACAGACTCTGGTTACAATCTACACAATTTTCTGGAGAAATCTCTTTTTTAAAAATAAGTTGGTAAAAACAGATCTTCACACTCCATTTTTGTATTTTTCACAGATTTATTTTTGTTGGCGAGATTGTTTAACGTACTTGGAGAGTACTATATAAGGCTGCTAAAATTAGTGCATGGGAGACCCTGACCATTAGACACTTTCCAAGTGAAAAAGAAAATTGGTAAATGAAGCAAAAAAAACAACAAAACAAAAAAAACCAATGCCAAGAACCAAAAGCCAAGCACTTAAACCATATATTCATATCAGTGCTATGAATGCAATTTTTAAAAAAACCACACAAATTAACAAAGTTCTCTCACTATCATAGCTATGTATATTTGAAACTTACGAATGGACTTTCGAATCCATTGTCAACTGAACATACAAAATCAAAAGGAAACAAACATTTCATATTGGCGCTGGCATGATGCTGGAAGAATACATTTGAGGATCAGATCCCCAGCTGGCGTAAATCAGCGAAGCTCCATGAGGATCAAAGGAGCTCTGCTGATTCACATCAGCTGACAATCAGACCCAACAAGCTTAAAGAGCAAAATAGAACGCAAGCCCCGTTATCAGTGCCCTACATATTTCTAGTGTCTTTACCTGACTGTGGGGTCCCATCATGCTGTTAGGATTGTGAGGTGGAGGCTGTGCGTGTGGCGAGGGCTGAGAACCAGGTGGTCCCTGTGAGGTCAGACAGTAGAAGGAGGTTATAGATTAGCACATGAAAGCGCAGAAAGAGCTAAAAAGGATTTATTGGTGGATCTGTTTGTAGGGAAGCCAGTCTCATTTTAGATGAGTTTCTATTCATTTGTAACTGAACAACGAAATAATGATATATGCAAAAAAAAATAGGACATCTGTCAAAGCACACCAGCAACGTTACAGTAAATGGTTCAGAATTCAACCAGTCTGCAATGACAAATACACTTGGATACGCTTTGAAAGTGTGCGTATGGAGAGAAAAAAAGTCTTCTCCACGACCCTCCCACAGTTTCCTGAAGGTAGGAAACACCTTAAAGGGCTTCCTTTTGATTTGTGGGTCAATGGTTAATACAAGGTATTAAAAATAATGTAGAGGCAAAGATCTTGCTTAGAAGCACATCCCATGTTTGTGCCAGATATTTTTGAAGCTGAAGCCTAGGTTTAGCTCCAATAAATGGATGGCACAACTCCAATCCATTTCTACATGCAGGGCTGTGTTGTTACCCTTAAAGATCCAATATCCTTCCCCAAGACGAATGACCTAATGATGCAAGTAAAGTTTCTTTTGAGTAAAGCGATACTAAAACATGTCTGGGGGAAAAAAGAAAGATTAGTGCATGTAGCTTTTAACACCACAAGACAGCAGTTTCTGACATTTTTGGGTTGAACACCAATTTTTTCCCCCTTTAAAGCATGAAAAGAGAAAGTTTGTTTGGAAAATGTGAGCTCTGAGCAAGAATACACTGATGCATGTTAATGTAAAAAAAAAAAAAAAAAAATCAAGTCCAAGAACTTGTAATTGGTATAGAAAGCAAATAAGCCTTGTAAGTATGTTATGTGAAGCAGCCACACACTTCAGTAAAAGCACAGCAGCAGATGTTCTATACCTGCCACGTTACTAATTTCAACAAGTGTTCGCCTTCTAGCTGCTGCCAGCAATGGCATGGTTTGTTACCATGAGCAATTTTCTTAATTAACAGACATTAATTAGCCATTTAGCAATTTTGCAAGCATTTGTTTAGCAGCTTTCCTAAACATGAATACCACTGTGATAATGGTACTGATTAGAGGGGTCCCCTAATTAACAGTACAGGGAAGGAAAATTGAAATCACATAAATTAAAAAGGGAGGGGACGTTAATGAAGGCAGGACATTTGCACCTGCAAATCTTTTGTACTACAGAAACTTGAGTGCACCGTAAATAAAGTAAGAGGAATTTTTTAAGTGTTACACAGAAAGACACAGCCACAAAGATTAAAACAGAAACAGCCCTCTGTCAATCTCCCATGTTTAGTTTATATGCTCATATAAATGAAACTCTGTTGCATTAACAGGATATACATAATTAGTCCTACCTTGTAATTTATAACTAGTACAGTAAGGCAAGAATAGTTCTCTTGCCTCTCCTAGATTCATTATTCTGGGCAGAAGTCATAACTCAGAGTTGCAACGCCCCACTATGTCCTACCACCACTTTAAAAAAAACCCTGAATGTTTCCCCCTGCTGACATGTTTGCAGAACTGACATCCTCCCCCAGAGAAATCCTTCCAAAGCAGAGACGACAAAGCTAGAATCATTGCAATTTGAACACCAATCATTTTGTTTATTTCACTGGGACATTTCAGGCCTTTTTAACATTCCCTCCCTGAACTGAAAGAGGAGAAAATCCCATAATAAACCAAATATCTACTGAATACCAACTAGACAAGCACAGGGAATGGGGTCTGTCCAGAGTAGTGGATCTCACTAGGAGAAATCAGTCACATGCAAAAAAAATAAATCTAATTTTGCCTTTCTTCTGTGATGGATCCACTATGCTAGACAGAAGTCAGACCTCAAGGAAAGCTGCCAGTGTGATTGCCACCCACCAACCACATGGGGAAAGTAAATTTGGCCCTGGATCCTGCAATTGACAACATGCAGGTGGACTACTGAGCCTGTGAAGAACTCCACTGAAGTCTATGAAGTCCACCCACATGCTGCGAATTGCAGAATTGGAGCTTAGTGAGTAAGTACAAAAACAACAGTCACTACCAATAAAAGAAAAGGGTGATTGTGAGTCAAATGAAAGACACCACAGAGAAACCCTTGCTAGTTAAAACTGCCTCAAGATTAAAGAGATCCTTTATGATGTACATTCAGGTAGCTTGGAGCTCAGAAATGGCCATTTCCCACAAAAAGTATTTTCTCTCTATTTATAGATTACACACCACTCCCTCTTCATCCTGAAACATACACAGAACAGAGAGACAGGCCTGTTGCCCAAATACTGTATCCAAAGAGAAAAGACCAACTCAATTTTGTAATGCTCTGGGAAAGAAGGAATTGACCACAAGTTGGGAAGAAACCTACAAGGCTGCTAAGAGGGCTGATGTTTCTCCATCCAATACCTTGCATCTTTGGCAGAATGAACCCCAATCTCTATAGCATTTCCTGGAGTGCTGATTCATCTACCTGGGGAATGGGATCGTTTGATCGCTGCGGCAAAGCAAGAGAATGTAGCCGCTTTCATGAGACTGCCCAACACCACGAGCAAGGCATTACCCCTTCCTCCGCAGAGGAGAACGGTTCTGACAGAAATTATTGCCCAGACCACTTCCTGAGAATGAAAGTGCATTTGTAAGTGGCATAAAGGCTCATGACTGATAGTTCCTTTTCCCGTTGCCTGCTTTAGGAGGAGCTCAGTGTTCTAAGCCAGGCACGGTCTAGGGCTGTCATGCAAACCCGCCCGGCCAGAGAGTTGTAACTACATATCTACAAAAATGCAATAAAAGGAACCCTGCTCGCTTAACCCTCCGACCAAACTGAAAGGCAGGAGAACGGCGATCTGGAGAGTCAGGAAACAGACACCAAGGATGGCTGTTTGAAAGGAGCATTAGTAAGGGCCAGTTGCAGCACTTAAAAAGATTCTGGTTCCCCGGGTGACCTAATCAGGAGGCAACTGGTAGCTACAGCTACACATAGCGACAGATATCAGGATGCAACCAATGACTTCAGCAGGGGAGGGAGTGTGGCACAGTAATGAGACTAACCTCAATGAGCACCTTCTCGGACCCTTGTGCAAAAAGCCTTCTTAGGGGGATCCTAAGGTAACTCCCGGGGAAAAGGAGAGGCATTGTGTGTTGGGGCCTCGCCGATGCCAGAATCTGTATGTGACTCAGTAAGGCCAAGAAAGCAGCAGGAGCGGAGATCAGGAAGCATCAAGGAACCACGATATACCAGGGCTTGCTCTACCCGGAAGAACACACAATTTGATGCTGGACTCCCTGTGAGGGAGTCTCTGGCCCTTACTGGAACATGCCTGCAGGCTCTGCGGCTGGATTCAGGGTCTGCAGGGGAAGCAGACCGGCGGTGTCCTGCTGCCGTCCCCAGGGGAGTTCCAACCCATCTGCCAGCGAAGCGCGGGGGGGGGAGGGAGGAGGCTGGCTTGCAGGAAAGGCCGTTACTGAAAGGGATACAGGCCAGCGCCCAGTGTGAAGACTGCCTTGCTGAACCCCCCCTGAAGCATTCAGCACAGCAGGAGGCAGTGCAGACCTGGTGGTGTGCCAATGGGGCGGTAAGTGCTTGGGGAATCCTTTGGTGCTCAGAAGCACCTGCACTCCAAATTAAGAACCCTGCGCTGAACATACCAGGAAGGGCGGGGGGCGGGATTACTCATGAAGGTTCTCTCCATTCCAAGAAACCAAGCTGGGGTGAGGGAATTGCCAGGGGAAAAACAAAACAAAACAGGAACCTTGTTTCCTGGAAAGGGGGGCGGGGGGAGAGAAATCACTTGAGAAAGGCTCTGTCACAGACAGAAGGGGAAAAGGTCTGCTCCATTCCGGGCAGAGCAACTGGGAAGGCTGCAGTCAGCCCAGAAACGCTCCAGCAGGGGGAGCTATCCAGTTAAGTGAGAGCAGCACTGTCACCAGTCCGCTGGATAGGCCAGAATACCCAAGAATTATGGGCTCCCATGAAGAGCAGAGGGCTTATCCCAAGAGCAATATAGCTTCAGTAACAGTATTGCTAAACCACCCTCTCCCACCAGCTGACACACCCTGGAGAATTACCAGACTGAGCAGATAAGATTCCTGTGTATTGGCAGGGCCGGCTCCAGGATTTTTGCTGCCCCAAGTGGCGGCAAAAAAAAAAAAAAAAAAAAAAAAAAAAAAAAAAGGCAAGCCGCGATCGGCGGCAGCTCCACCGCGCCGCTTTCTTCTTTGGCAGCAATTCAGCAGCAGGTCCTTCCCTCCGAGAGGGACCCGCCCCCGAAGAGCCTGACGTGCCGCCCCTTCCCCATGGCCGCCCCAAGCACCTGCTTGCTGGGCTGGTGCCTGAAGCCGGCCCTGTGTATTGGTGCTTAACCTGGCAATGGCAAGTGTCTATGTAAACCTAATGGTCTCACACATTGTGGGGAGGGATAGCTCAGTGATTTGAGCATTGGCCTGCTAAACCCAGGGTTGTGAGTTCAATCCTTGAGGGGGCCATTTAGGGATCTAGGGCAAAAATCGGTCTGGAGATTGGTCCTGCTTTGAGCAGGGGGTTGGACTAGATGACCTCCTGAGGTCCCTTCCAACCCTGATATTCTATGATTCATGAGTTACTTGGGTTGGTTGCATATCTAGGGGCTTTCAAGATTTTTCACTGACTCTGGGGTATGGCAGGTTGTCACATAAGGAAAAGGGGATATAAACCTGTCACTACCTGCAGGGGAACCTGTGACAGCGTACCCCATAAGGCTTTATGGGGGGTGTGTTTATAAATGTACGTATGATATAACTGAAATATGTTTTGTGCTGCCTGTGCCATGTAACATATCTCCGTAAAGGTTATGGTCTACTATATCTATTCATCCTATTTGTACATATATATCATTTTCTACTTGAGGTTAAGAATATGGGCTGTATGCTTGCTTGGTTTCTAAGTAAGCTTTGTGAGGCATTTGGTCAGCTTCTTTAGGAAGGAATTCGCCAGGTTAAGTACCTGATCAGGAAACACT